ATTAACCTTTTATTGACTTAAAGCTCTTCCAGCCAGTATGATGGTACACACATCTCACCCAACACTTGAAAGATAGAGGCAGGGGCCTCAGGAGTTAAAGGTTATCCTTGGGTATATAGTGAGTTACAAGTGTATTGCTGCATGGAGAGCCAGCCTCCAGGAAGCCCAGGGTATACAAAAAAAAAATCCATAAATGTGGTGAGGGCTAGACTTTTTCAATCTGAGAGCTAAGGAAGAAATGAAATACAGTCTTTCTGATTGTAACTTTCTCTTTTACTTCATCTTAAAAAAATCTTTTTCTGAAAATCTCTCTGTCTTCACACAGCTACATCTCTTTACACAGCTACATCTACTCTACACAGCTCCCTCTACACAGCTCTCTCACACAGATCTATCAGTTCTCTCTACACAGCTCTCTCACACAGATCTCTCACACAGATCTCTCTATCAGCTCTCTCTACACAGATCTCTTGTAGCCAGAAGTTTTCCTGGTCCTACCCGGCTCCCACAGTCCTGTAGTCCTGCAGCCGCTCAGACCCAAATGAACACACAGAGGCTTAATATTAATTAAAACTGCTTGGCCATTAGCTCAGGCTAACTACTGACTGGCTCTTACACTTAAACTCAGCCCATTTCTGTTCATCTATATGTCGCCACATTTTCCTTGGCTTTACCTGTGTGCCATTACATGCTGCTCCCTGGACAGCAGGCTGGCGTCTCCTCCTCAGTTCTGTTTTTCATTCCCAGAATTCTCCTTTTCTGCTTATTCCACCTATACTTCCTGTCTGGCTACTAGCCAATCAGCGTTTTATTTATCATCCAATCAGAGCAACACATTTACAGCATGCAGAATATCCCACAGCACCTCCCCTTTTTTGTCTAATCAAAAAGGAAGGGTTTAACTTTAACACAGTAAAATTACATATAACAAACAGTTATCAAGAAAGAATTACAATATCTAGTTACAGTTACAATATCTAGTCTATTTGTATTTTGTAAAATTAAAGAAAATATTCTATCTATCCTATATTTGTGAGTAAAGTTTCATATCCAATTTATCTTTTATCATAACCAAGGAAAATAATAACTATCTAGTCTTCAACTACATCAAAGACCTCAGAAGGATACAGTATTACCTAAGTAAACAGGAAGTACATTGTAAGCAACTTCCAAAAATCTAGAATGACAGAGACAGCTGTCTGCCTGGACAGACATCCCAAGTTCCTCTGTAATGTCCAGGTATCCATCTTCAGTCCACAGGCCTAGAGTCTCTCAGTCACTTCTCTCTGTATCCTGTAGAATGTCTGGCAATTTCTTCTGCAAAGCAGGAACCTGAAGGACCATCTCACCTTGCAAAGTTCAGTGGTCACCTTCCTATGGGTCATGCATGTCCAGTTTATACAACATTTTATCAAACAGTCCAGGCAAGAACCATTTCTTACCCAAATGGCTATTTTTGCCAAGAAGAAGATAAACTCCATATGGAGTGTCTTCGATGCCCATCCTTCTTTTTAAAGTAAATCAGTCCTGCCAGGAACAGACGTGTCTCATTGTCCAGAAAGTCTAAGTTTTTAAAACATTTTAAATGCCATATTCTGTAGGTCTTTGAAGTGTTCGAAGATTACCTACCTAATTGAAATATATCTATGTATACCTAGAAAACTTAACTAACATGACTGTAAGTTTTATTATCATAGATGACTAATTATTAATCTATTTCTTAATTATCCATTACAATTTAAATGAGTTATATGAACATAATACCTTAAACAAGAGTAGAAATATACATACAATATAACAAAATTAACTTTAAATTTGTATCAATTAACCAAAATCCATAGCAATGTAAAATATTTTAAGCAAGTTGTTGCTTTTTAAAAGTAGGTTCAGGGCTGGAGAGATGGCTCAGAGGTTAAGAGCACTGACTGCTCTTCCAGAGGTCCTGAGTTCAATTCCCAGCAACCACATGGTGGTTCACAACCATTTGTAATGAGATCTGGCGCCCTCTTCTGTGTACATAATAAATAAATAAATCTTAAAAAAATAAATAAAAAAGTAGATTCAATAATCTACCCTTTCATCCTATCATATCTATATCCTGTATTTCTATATCATATCCTCCTTTCTTCTTTTAGAAAGAGATTGACTATGACCAATAACAATTTGCAGCCAACAATCTAAACAAAGACAAACATCCATAATCCATTTTTTGTGAATGTGGGCATAGTGTTCTAGGCTATTTCCTACTGATGGGGGCACTGGTAGTCTTATGGGGCTCCTGAGAAAATTCAAGATAATAGTCAAGTCTTGGGAAGACCGTTGTTAATAGGTACCATCTGTTAAGGTTCAGGAGGTGGTCTTCCATCTGAATCTGCCTTATTGTGAATCTATTGCTTTAAACTGTAGCATGACTAGGACTGAAATGGCAGCTTTGGCTGCTGGCTCTGCCCACCTAAGCTTTCCAACATGGCAGTGGTATATTTACAGCCAGTTCTGGGAACCAAGCTGACCACCAACTCTGGGAAGCAGTGGGTCTATGCTTCCATTCCGCAGCGTCTAGTCCAGAAACTTTTTTTTTCTTTTCTTTTTTTTTTTTTTTTTTTGTCTGTACTAGCAAAGGCTAAATCCACCAGGCACCACACTGTGCAGCTTGGAGACACCTCTGTGTACTGTGGCAGGAATCCACAGCCATGCCGTGGGTCAAGCCCACACACCAGGTACCCACCATACTTTAGCTCCAGCCCACATGTTGCCTTGTCTTACTGCCCACATGAGACATGAAGGAGGAACCTGTTTTTGGCTCCGTTTAGAAGTGCTTATTAAATATTCTCAGGTTTCTGTTGGGCGCCATTGTAGCTGGAAGATTTCCTGTGTCCCAGCCTGCAGGTGGTCAGGACAAATCTCTCCCACTTGCATCCCCCAAGTAAACACACAGAGGCTTATATTAATTATAACTGCATGGCCATGGCTCAAGCCTTTAGCTAGCTAACTCTATGTCTTAAATTAGCCCATAACTATTAATCTATGTAACGCCACATGTTCCATGGCTTTCCCTGCGTCCCATTACATGTTGCTCCTTGGGCAGCTCACTGCTGTCTCTCCCCGCCTTCTTCCTGTCTCTCTCTCTGAATTTCCTGCCTGCCTCTAAGCTGCCTTGCCATAGGTCAAATGGCTTTATCAACCAATTAGAGCAACACATGTTCAAATCATACAGAAAGACATTCCCCCATCACTCTCTCTACACAGCTCTCTACAAAGCTCTCTCACACAGCCCATCTCTTCCACTACACATCTCTCTTCATTTCTCTTTTCACATATCTTGAAAAATCTTGTCATCAGGCCGGGCGGTGGTGGCGCACGCCTTTAATCCCAGCATTCGGGAGGCAGAGCCAGGCGGATCTCTGTGAGTTCGAGGCCAGCCTGGGCTACCAAGTGAGTTCCAGGACAGGCGCAAAGCTACACAGAGAAACCCTGTCTCGAAAAACCAAAAAAAAAAAAAAAAAAAATCTTGTCATCAAAAGAAAACTCTAGACAATATATGAACTACACCTTCAGGGTCACAAAGCATTTCTTGAGTAAATAATAAGTGGTGGCACACGCCTTTAATCCCAGCACTCAGGAGGCAGAGCCAGGCAAAACTCTCTGAGTTCAAGACCAGCCTGGTCTACAGAGTGAGTTCCAGGACAGGCTCCAAAGCTACACAGAGAAACCCTGTCTCAAAAAAAACAAAAGCAAACAAACAAACAAAAACAACCCCCCCCCCCAAAAAAAAAAAAAAGAAACACAGAGCTATTCTGATCACACAGTTTTTTTTCAGGCTAGGGAAGTCACATTGGCTGGAAGTAAGTAACCATGGCAACACTTGGCTGTGTGGTTGGGAGGCACATAGCCTCAGAGACATCACAGAGAGTGACATTGAATTCAGGACCTAAGCAATAAACAGTTGGCTGGCTGAACCTTGAGCCTTGTATCATAAAAGTAAAAAAGTGAGGTTAGGAGTACATGCAGAAGGTCAGTTGCTGAGAGGATTTGTACAGGGAGTTGTGTCTTTAATGTTATCTGCCAGGCGTTTGCAAGTGAAAAACTGGCACTAAAGTTGTTTTGTGTCTGACCTTGATTCAACAGACACCTGAGAATCTGTCCTTGTGCATTCATTTGCACAGGCAACTAGTCTGCTTTGAATTAGTTTTGAGGTCTAAAATCAGATAGTGGTGTAAAAAGCTGTCTTTGTAACTGAGAATATTGCTACTTTCCTATGTCATTCTGAGCTATGAAAAATATCCTAGTATTATTTCTGTTCATCAAAATTATACAGATTAAGAAGAAATCATCTTCCTGACCATCCACAGATAAATGTGCCCAAAGAGTACAAAGCATAACACCAATGGGCTGTGGAAAGAACCCCACAGCTGTTCTTTTTAGGGAGGAATTGTGGCAGCCCATGAGTAAAATTACAGATAGAAGCAACCAGTTTCCACAGCCAGTAACGCCATGGTCTTTGCCTAGTGGGGCTCTCCATCAGAGTTATTCATCTGGTGGGTTGACCTGTTGAATATTAGTTGTCGTCTGCTGCATTTATGTCATGGCCTGTGACAAGCCTGGATACATGAGATCCTGTCTCAAAAAAGAACACAAAGTCCTTCAAGCTGGACATAGTGGCACACACCTGTGATCCTAGCACACAGTGCTGGGACCAGAGGACTAAGGTTTTTAGGGAAACCTGGGCTGCATAGCAAATTCAAAGCCAGCTTGAGCTACATAGTGAGACCCTGTCAAAAAGTCAAGGGCTGGGGTAATAGCTCAGGAGTAGAGCAGTTGCTCAGTGTAGACAAGGGCCTGGGTTCGATGCCCAGGACCTTAGGAAAAAAAAAAACACAGTAATTAAAGCAGGGCTTTTCTTTTTTACTTTGGATTAAATGATGTTTTATTAATTTTGTTTCAGAAGTTAATTTTATTTATGATAAAGTTTCTAACATGTTCCCTTGCAATTTGTGTTTTAGGCTTTTTTCAAAGACCCAAATGTTATTCCAAATTTGCAGTTACTCTCAGATTCTTCTGGACAGTGGACCACATTAGGTAAAGAAAATTAATTTTAATATTTCTAAGTTAACTATTTTAATAAAATTTGCCTCGGCCATTATCACTAGTGATTTGTGTCACTAAAATACAAATTGTGACATTCGTAATAATGTGTGACCAGCTGTGGCAGGCCTGCCCTGCCTCTCTGTTCTGGAAATCTCTTGCTATCATCCTGGCATCGCACATCAGAGCAATTTTCTTTTAGTAGTTTAGAAAATATCCATCCTAGGCCTTCCATTTACTCTGCTAAATGCAAGTCACGCCAAGATGAGCAAGAAGAACATGGCACTCATGGAGTTCATGGATCCTCTAAGGGAGGCTGGGGATACAGCGCTGTGTGTTGTTCAGTCCCCAGCATCACTGTGGCCTTGTTGGAGTAGGTGTGATCCTCCTTGGAGGAAGTATATCATTGTGGGGGAGGGCTTTGAGGTCTCATATATGGTCAAGTCATGCCCAGCAAGTCAGTTCACTTCCTGTTGCCTGTGGAGCAAAGATGTAAGAATTCTCAGAACTTTCTCCAGTACCGTGTCTGCCTGCATGCTGACATACTCCCAGCCACCATGCTCTCCACCATGATGATAATGGATAACTGTAAGCCACCACCTCCATTAAATGTTTTCTTTTTTTAAATATGAGTTATTTATTTGCATTGGTGCATCTGTGTAAGGGTGTTGGATCGCCTAGAACTGGAATTACAGACAGTTGTGAGCTACTATGTGGGTGCTGAGAATTGAACCCGGATCTTCTGAAAGAGCAGCCAATGCTCTTAACTGCTGAGCCATCTTCCCAGCCCCTAAATGTTTTCTTCTATAAAAGTTGCCATGGTCATGGTGTCTCTTCACAGCAATAGAAACCCTAACTAAGACAATTACATAAAACACACCTGTAATACCTGTAATCCCGATACTGGAGAGGTAGAGACAGGAGGATCAGAAGTTTCAGGCCATCCTCTGATACATGGCAAATTGAGGCCAGCCTAGACAACATGAGATCCTGTCTTAAAATAATAATAAAAAAAATTAAAAATAAAAAAGGGAGAGGAATGGTATGGAAGGAAAGAAAAGGAGGGGGAGCTAGAGAGATGGCTCAGTGGTTAAGAGCACTGCCTGCTCTTCCAGAGGTCCTGAGTTCAATCCCCAACAACCACATGGTAGCTCACAACCATCTCTAGTGGGATCTGGTGCCCTCTTCCGGCATAAAGTTGTACATGCAGATAAAGCACTCATATACATAAATTAATAAGGAAAGAAAAAGAGGGGCTGGAGAGATGGTTAAGAGGCTTAGTGACCCTCCAGAGGACCTGAGTCCACTTCCCAGTACCCCATATCCAGCATCACAGCCTATGACCCCAGCTCCTGGGGGTCCAGGACCTGTGGCCTCTGTAACACCTGTGCATACATGCACGCCCTCCCACGGACATATACACAGTCATGTAATTAAAAATCTTAAATGAGCCGGGCGGTGGTGGCGCACGCCTTTAATCCCAGCACTCGGGAGGCAGAGGCAGGCGGATCTCTGTGAGTTCGAGGCCAGCCTGGTCTACAGCGCGAGATCCAGGAAAGGCGCAAAGCTACACAGAGAAACCCTGTCTCGAAAAACCAAAAAAAAAAAAAATCTTAAATGAATAAGTGAAATAAAGACTATAATAGTGCATTCTAGGTTTTTCCATAGAAGTGAGAACATGGGGAAGGAGATGGTCAGTTCTACCCAGGACAGCGTCCACTGATGGGAGTGCCTGGGCAGAGTGCAGCTGCAGCTCACAGGGGCTTTGACAGGAATTGACTGCCCTGGAACTTTGTAGAATAACAACAAATCATAGAGAAATGACTTCTTAAAGGGGGGCCTTTCTCTAGATGACACTTTAATAATATACTAAAACATACCTGGGGAATTTTAGTGTGTGTGTGTGTGTGTGTGTGTGTGTGTGTGTGTGTGTGTGTGTGTGCAAGCATGCTATATGGAGGTCAGAGGCCAGCTTTCCGGAATCAGTTCGTCTAAACTGAGCCATCAACTGACATGCCCACCACTTTTCCCACCTCAGCCACCACCTCCCCCAAAGACTGTTGTGAAAACCAACGTGAATGCTGTATTTTAAATTCAAGTTTGAGTTCTCAACCATGGAACAGATAACACCATTCCATTTAGAAAAAGAATCTGTAATACCAATTTGTGCACAAGAAAATGCAAATTGCTTAGAAAATAGATTATTTGTTTAAGAGGGGGTCTTTTGTTAAACAAAGTGTGTCTTCATGAAATTCTAAGAAGCTGTAAGACAAAGTCACTTTTTTAGAGTATTAGGTAAGAACAAAATGACAAAAAGGTTCCTGTTAGACCCAGCAAGTCAGATTTTATTGCTTTTGGCCAAGAACTGCTGCCAAATTTGCAGAGGAGAAAGCTGGTAGAGCCTGATCTGCAGACTACATACAAAATTAAACTCAGTTCCTAAGCTCATATATTTGCCAGCTTGGATTTTTGAAGAGAATAATCAGAGCCATGTAGCACGGAGTTTTTTAAACGTTTAATCTTTTAAAAAGAAAACGATATCCAAAGAAGTGTGAGCGGTCTCCCCCATCTCAGCACAGACTTCACAGAATAGGGCTAACTTGGTCCTAAGTTTTGTTCAAGTTTTTGTTTGTTTGTTTTGTTTTGTTTTTCATGATTGTCTTAGCTAGGGTTTCTATTGCTGTGAAGAGACACCATGACCACAGCCTCTCTCATAAAGGAAAACATTTCATGAAGGTGGCAGCTTGTAGTTTAGAGGTTTAGTCCATTATCATCATGGCAGGGAGCGCGGCAGCTGTGATTATGTGGGTGTGCAGGCAGACATGGTGCTGGAGCTGAGAGTCCTACATCCTGCAGGCAACAGGAGGCGGTCTGTCTCACTGGGAGTGGCTTGAGCATACATGAGCCCTCAAAGCCTGCCCCCACAGTGACACACTTCCTCCAAGGAGAACCACACCTACCCAACGAGGCCACACCTCCTAGTAGTGCCACTCCCTTGGGGGCCATTTTCTTTCAAACCACCACAGTGATTTAATTTCTTTTTAATGTATTTTGTTTTTGTTTTTCAAAACAGGGTTTCTGTGTAACAACCCTGGCTGTCCTTGAACTCTCTCTGTAGACCAAGATGGCCTAGAACTCATAGAGATCCACCTGCCTCTGCCTTGGAGTGCTGCTATTATAGGTGTGCACCACCACCACTTGGCTTCTATATTTTTTTAAAGCTAACTCTCCAGGCCCAGTAGTAGTGATGTTCAGGTGTACATGGGTTTGGGGTATCCCCTGGAGCACGGGTGGCTTACCAGAGGCCACTCCCCAAAAAGAAGAATGATTCTGTCTCCCCCCAGGGACTGTTGGCTCCTGTGTTAAGGCCGGGTCCTTCTTAGCTCACACCCCCACCCCGATGGAATTCTAGCAGGTGGGTCCTGTGCAGGTAAGCACAGCTGTTGTAAGCTTGCAGCAGACCTGTCATGTCCAGAGGACAGCATTCCACAGCACTCTGCCCCATCTTCCAGCTCTTACACTCTGTCCACCTCCTCCACCAAGGTGGTCCCTGAGCCTTTGCTATTGAATCTTAAAATTACGTTTATTTACTGTGTGTGTGTGTGTGTGTGTGTAGGTCAGGGGACAGTTTGCAGGAGTTGGTTCTCCTTCTATCATGTGGGTCCCAGGGATTGAACTCAGGTGCTGACCTCATCAGGTCCCTTTCCCCTCCGAGCCATCTCAGCAGACCTTATTCTAAGTTTGGATTAAAGCGCTGCACAAAGAGAACTTCTGAAGTGCCGTATTGCTTGACAAGTAAATTAGAAACTCTCCACTTGGGTTTGTTTTTCTTTATTTTTATTTATGTGTACATGTATGGGTGTGCACGTGCAGGTGCCCAGAGAGACCAGACAAAGGTATTGGATCCCCTGGAGCTACCTGGCTGGATGCTGAGATCTGTAAGAGCAGAAGGTGTTCTTAACCACGAGGCTTCTCTCCAGCCCAGCACTCATGTTTTTGTATGTTACCAATGCTCTTCCACCAGCTTGGCTCCCTCTCATTTTCTGCATTTTGTTGTTGTTGTTGTTGTTATTTTTCTGGTATATTGAAGTCTTCCCCTCAGTTTTCATTTGGAGTTCTTATAACCTCTCCCCCCCCAAAAAAAATCACCTTTTGTGTTTTTCCCTTACTTCCCTTCATAGCCCAGGCTGTTAAGATTCTGTATGTAATTCAAACTTAACTTTGAACTCAAAGCAGTCCTCCTGGCTCAGCTTCTGGAGTGCTGGGTTACAGGCCTGCACCACCACACCCACTCTATGCTCTGCTGGGGATTGAACCCAGGGCTTCATGCATGCTAGGAAGTACTCTACCACCTGAGCTGTCTACAGCTTGAAAAGGAGGCATTTTTTTTTTAAAGATTTATTTATTTATTTTGTATACAGCAAGTATGACCAGAAGAGGGCACCAGATCTCATTACAGATGGTTGTGAACCACCATGTGGTTGCTGGGAATTAAACTCAGGACCTCTGGAAGAGCAGTCAGTGTTCTTAACCTCTGAGCCATCTCTCCAGCCCCCGAGAAGGAGGCATTGTTAAGAAGGGACTCAGCCGGGCGGTGGTGGCGCACGCCTTTAATCCCAGCACTCGGGAGGCAGAGCCAGGCGGATCTGTGAGTTCGAGGCCAGCCTGGTCTACAGAGCGAGATCCAGGAAAGGCGCAAAGCTATACAGAGAAACCCTGTCTCGAAAAACCAAAAAAAAAAAAAAAATTAAAAAAAAAAGAAGGGACTCGAAGGGGATGTGAAGGTTCATGGCCTTGCTAGATTGTGAGAAACAAGAAACCCTGTTCTGAAGAGAACACCAAGGATATGGTAGGAAAACCATCTGATAAAGAGATCAGGGTGTGACTCATGGATTTAATCAGTCATTTCAGCAGAAACCAAAAAAGAATGGGATAGTATCAGTGAAGATGTTGCTAGCTGATACTAAAGGGCTCTTGACTTCTTAACTCCTATG